CACGCCCCTCATTTTAGAACTCGCGATATCGATTTGTCTGTCAACGCTTTTCCCCCGATGAGTCGTACTCTAGCAGCGGTTTTGCCGATAATGCAATCCACTGCTCGACATGCACCTTCGACCTGATACATATTAGCGTCGACCTGCGCATCAGAACGCTGTCAACCTATAGCTCGACAACAGCGGGTCGACTTGACCAGGTTCTCATCCCCTCCTCCGCGGGTAGACAAAGCACCGAAAACCGTAGGCAATCACGCATGTAGGAGTGTCCCCCCCCCCCCCCCCCCCCCCCCCCTTCCCCCTTCCCCCTTCCCCCTTCCCCCTTCCCCCTTGCCCTTTTGTGTCTTTCCTTGCTTTCTAGACAGTTACCCACCGCGCGTTGGGCATTGTTATTTTGACAATGAGCAAAGAATATCCATAATTCCGAATCCACAAGCTTATCTCCCGCCTTTACTCATGTATATTCGATCAAATTCTTCGGTCCTTCTCTCCTCATATAAACTCCTATAACATTATGCATACCTTAGTGCTAGTCCTTGCTAGCCGCTGGGGAAAACTACAAAGGAAATATATGTATGTGGGTTAGATGCGGGTTCAAAGAAGGGGGATGGAGAAGGGTCAAAGGAAGTTGGTTCTGCCGTTATGCATCAACTTTTTTTGAAGGGTTGGTGAGTGCGAGTGTGCCATACTGTCGGGAAATAAGAGGTCATACACTAATGAACGCCACCAACATCATATTACTACTATTTTTCTTATCATCAGCTTACTACAAAAGTCGTCTAATAGTTACTTGCTAATGCTAGCTCTCTTGGCTCACACATTTGTTTTACTATAAATAGCTCTATCTTTTGTATGGAATTAGATATAATAGATAGTGTACAGATAATATAAGAAGCAGATCTTGATACACATAAGATTCATATGTTTCTGACATATTCATCTGAGATATCATTCTGACAGTTATGAGCCCGGTAAGCAGCATCTGAATAGAAGCGTGATACACTGATCTCAATCCTCATTTGAATAGATAACTATCATTCAAACTGAGATGATTGATCCTCACTTGTATACATTCCGAACTACTCAACTATTATACATCAAATCCTGGCAAGCAGTATCTGAATAGAAGCACGACACTGACCTCAATTCTCATTCAAATAGGTAACTATCATTTGAACTGAGATGATTAAATCTCACTCATATACATTCTGAAATACTTAACTGTTATGCACCTTGAATTTCAATCATATCTATTATTCAAAATACTTGAACTGATTTCTCAATTTATTCAATATAAGCTGATATAACAGATAAGATAATAACTAGTGTAACTATTCACTTTAGTGTTTCTAAAGATTGAAAACTTTGATATAGATATATGTTAAAATATGTAAAGAATAAGAAGATATTAAACTTTATCAATCTTGATAAATCTGATATCTTTTCTGAACTAGAAAAATCTCTGAAATATAAGTATTCAG